CGTCGTGCATGGGGGGCTCGTTGTCGTCCATGTGCGCTCATAGGTGGTCATTGTCTATGGGTGTTTGTCGTTCGTGGGTCGTCATTGTCCGTGGGTGGGGTTGTTGTCCTTGTCCATGGGCGCTCATCATTCATGGGTGGTGGCAGAAGGTGGTAGTGTGGTTGTCCATGGGCGCTCGATGTTCATTGTCGTCTGTGGGTCATCGAGGGTGTTCGGTGTCATTGTTTGTGGGCGCCGTGGTTGTTTGTGGGTGGTGGGCCTCATTCATGTGTCGTTTCTGTCGTCATCTGCATGTGCTGTGGGGGTTGTAAGCGGTCGTTGTCGTTGTTCTCATCGATGTCATAGTCATCGTTGATGTCGTCGTGGTCCTCGTGTGTTGTTGTTGTGCCGTGTTGTTGTGACGTGGCATTGCCACGGTGTTTCTGTTGTCGTCCGCGTGCACTGTAGGGTTGTAAGTGGTTGTGGTCATCGATGTTGTTGTTGTTGTCGATGTTGTTGTGGTCATCGTGGATGGGCATTGTGTTGTTGTTGTGTCATTGTCGTGGTGGTGGTGGTTGCAGTTGAAAGAGAAAGGTGATGTGACGTGTCACATATGAAGACTATGATCAACAAACATGTGCACGGGATGCATCACATCATGTGATGCATTCCAAGCACATGTTCATGGGTCATGTGACTCATCACATGCATAAATCCTGGGAGTAGTCCTGTCTGAAAATCCTCAGGACTGTCTTCAGTCCTCAGGAATGGACCCCCACAGGACTGAAACAATTGGCTGGTACATCAGCCAATACTCAGTCCTGGGACTGTGCAAGAATCCTCAGGAATCCTCAGGAATCCTCAGGAATCCTGCAGGAATCAGTGGGGGACAATAAAGACCTCAGTGGTCATGCCAACTCATCTACAACCCACGTATTCGAGAAGGACCCAGCCTTTCTGATGGGGAGGGCGTGGAGCGTTTTTGGTCCTGTTTACACAAAATGATCGGTGTGACTTTGGTTTCAGCGGTACAATATCCATGAAGATGGGTGGTATACACTTTTATGACAAAAACCAGACATATGCCTGGAGGGCGATGTGTATAATGCCTAGAGGTTCATTGAGATCGCATATCTCATTGTTCTAGGATATCTCATTGTGATTTTCACATGGATACCTGGCACTTTCAATATATATTTCATTCTCAACCCCAGGATATTTCATTGCGATTTTCATATGAAAGCCTGGCGCTTTCAATATATATTTCATTCATTATCTCTGGATATCTCATTGTGCTTTTCATTTGAAAGCCTGGCACTTTCAATATATATTTCATTCTCAACCCCAGGATATTTTATTGCAATTTTCATATGGATACCTGGCGCTTTCATTGGATATTTCATTGTTAGCCCCAGGATCTTTCATTGTGCTTTTCATCTGAATGCCTGGTGCTTTCAATGGATATTTCATTGCACTTTTCATATGTGTACCTGGCGCTTTCAATGAATATTTCATTTTTAGCAGAAAAATTGAATATATATAAAAATGGTGTACAGAACATCAGGCACTGCCTTCAGGGTCCAGTTCAGCTTCCATCCTAAAAGGGAAATATCACCTGATTTGACCAAAAACTGAAAAAAACCAAGAGGAGAATGGTTTTACCTATCAGGGTCCATGTAATGGGATGTTGGGATGATGGTCACATGACCAATTACCAAAAATGGTCAAAAAACAAAAGTTGTAGCCCTACGCTGTAGCTTCCTAAATCTGTTTAAATGATGTTCTGAAGTGCTCCCATTGTGGAGATATGAGGTAAAGCAATCCCAAAAGTGTTGTGTTTTTTTTTGTTTTTTGCATTTTTCTCTATGAAAACAAAACCAAACAATATGATTTCAATATATTTAGAAATCTAAAAGAAAGAGCTACAATTATTGTATCGTGGGAAAAATGACCAAAAAAGGAAGGTGCATGCCCTAGAAAAGGAATTATCAGATATAGACTACCAAGTTTACTGATAGACTACAAAAAAGTCGGACTCAGACTACAAAGTTTACTGATAGACTACAAAAGACTACAAAAGTCGGACATAGACTACAAATTTTACTGATAGACTACAAAAGACTACAAAAGTTGGACTTAGACTACAAAATTAGGGTTAGGGCTAACAGGTTATCCAAAGTCAACCTAGCCCATCCATCCCATACATTGATGGGGAAATGGCTGGGGAATATACAAATACAATTCAGGGACCCTATTCCATGTCTAGTTTGAGGAATCATATGCAAAAGAGAGCATGGCAGCCATTAGAAAAGGGTGTCCTGTCCACTCTTTTAGACTACAAAAGTTTGTAGTGTCTGCTTTTTTAGACTACAAAAGCTTGTAGTGTCCGCTTTTTCATTAGAAAAGTTTGTAGTGTCTGCTTTTTAGACTACAAAAGTTTGTAGTGTCCGCTTTTTAGACTACAAAAGTTTGTAGTGTCCGCTTTTATAGACTATTTTTTAGACTACAAATGTTTGTAGTGTCCACTTTTTAGACCACAAATGTTTGTAGTGTCCGCTTTTTCATTAGAAAAGTTTGTAGTGTCTGCCTTTTAGACTACAAAAGTTTGTAGTGTCCGCTTTTTGAGACTACAAAAGTTTGTAGTTAACATCAATACTTTACCATCCCCCACATAATCCACATGGACTCCACTGGATTCCACTGGACTGGACTGGACTGGACTGCCAATCACAAAACTGGACTCCACTGGACTCCCAGCACAAAACTGGACTCCACTGGACTCCACTGGACTGCAAGCATAAATCTGGACTGGACTGGACTGGGCTGGACTGCAAATCACAAAACTGGACTCCACTGGACTCTCCCAACACAAAACTGGACTGGACTGGACTGCCACAGACCTAAGTTAATTCAGAATTCCTGAACTTAGATCTCAAAACAAAAAATAAAATTGAAGTATATTTATTAATTAAATTAATTAAATTTACTAGATTCTATGTTACAGAGAGGGGGAGGGAGAAGAAGGAAAAGAAAGGGGAGAGGGAAGAAGGGGGAAGGGAGGAATGGAGGGGGAGGGTGTGGTGTCAGGAAGGGAAAGGGAGGGGGGAGGGAGCAAGGAAGGGGGAAGGGAAAGGGAGGGGGGAAGAGAGGAATGGAGGGGAAGGGAGCAAGGAAAGGGGGAGGGAGCAAGGAAAGGTGGAGGGGGGAAAGGGGGGAGAGAGTGGGCAGAGGGAGTGGTGAAGAGAGGAGGTAGTGATGGGGGGAGAGAGTGGAGGGGAGGGGTGGTGCTGCTGGGCCCTCGTCGCTGTTCCACGTTGGCATTGGTGGTGGTGGGCGCTGTCGCGTATCGTCGTGCTCGCGTGTCGTTGTTGTTGTCGTGTGTCGTTGTTGTTGTCATGTGTCATTGTTGTTGTTGTTGTCGCATTGTTGTTGTTGCGTGTCG